TTGGAGAAATCCGTGTGGAAGGTCAGCAACATCTTGTTCCCTCGGGACATAAATTCCTTCTTCCCAGGGGGGTTGCCCAGTGGGGAACCCAGCTGCCCACAGAACCTCCCCAGGTTTTTCTTGTCAGCTGAGATCTGGTGGAGGAAGGACAAAGGGGAGGAAGAAGTGGTTGATGGGTACCAGTGGAAGGTCCTCTCTCTCTTGTCCTTGTCCCACAGCTGGTCATTATCTGCTGCACTCTGCCGGTTGCAAACTTCCCCAGGTGACTTTCATCTGTCTACCTGAATCTCCCACTGACTAACCCTTTGTATGTTATTCTGAGCCTGGTACATGACCCCTCCCTTTTTTGTACTCCCCTAAGCACATTTTGAGGAGCCCTGGTGGCACAGTGGTTAAAATGCTCGGCCGCAAAATGAAAGGTCAGAGGTTCAAACTCACCAGCCACTCTGTGGCAGAAAGATGTGGCAGTCTGCTTCTGTAAAGATTTACAGCCTTGGAAACCCTATGGGGCAGTTCTTCTCTGTCTTACAGGATTACTATGAGTCGGAATCGACAGCAGTGGATTCGGTTTGGTTTTGGTAAGCACATTTCAGACATTCCTTCATTCCCACCACCTCTCATGTCCTTCTTCCACTGGAATCCTGGTTGTCTCTACCGGTCCTTTATCCTTCCTAGTGCCTGCACTAGTCTGCTTTATTTTCTACCTTCTTACTCTCCCTCATCTAATTCAAACCATTTACGCCCAGCTATGCCTCCTTTGTTCAGCTAAAGGTGTTCTCTGAGACCCACCAGCCTTAGCATCAGCAAGCATTGTCTAGCTTCTCTTAACTCTTTACCCGACAGATTCCTCAATCCCTCAGAAGAAGAAGAAGAGGTTTTTCTACCCTACCCTACTCCTCACTACTCCTGTCACCAAGGCCCCCCTCCCCGCAAAACAAAACAAAAGAAAAAACAACAGACTTTCCAAATCCTCTGGGCTAGGAAGATGTGCCATTTTCATGTTACTCTCTCATAACCTGCGGAAGGGTCTCCTGAGAACGACATTTATTGGATATTTGTAGGCTCTACTTGAATCCTGAATCTGGAATCTCATTTTTGTTGAATATAGAAAGATGGGACTGGGAAGGTACCCTTGGTTGTTATAGAGGTGAGGGGACAAAGCCCACTGTCTTTGACGAGGGCTATGCTCAAGCTGCTGCCACACACATTTCTCTTCCCCATATTCCTGTTGATACAGGCAGCCATAGTCATGTTCTCTATGAAAAGAGAGAAACTGAGGCACAGTGGTTTTCCAAAGACTCCCAGCAAGTAAGCGGGTGGGGAAGGTTTTTCTGTCTCCTGTAGACAGTGTATTTCCTAAGAGTGGAGCCTGTACCTTCCTCCTCTGTGTTTCTCCCCTCAGTGCTCTCTGAGCGTCTCTAAAACCAGTGAATGCCCCATCCATGACATCAGCTGGTCTTAGAACTCCACTCGGCCACCAGCTTCACGGGTCTGGGGCTTGTCAGGGGTGGGGAGGGCTGTACAGGGCTGTTAGAGCACAAGACCTCGTATTCCACACTAAGCCATCTTAGTCTCCCCTCTGCCCCCCAACCTGCCCTCCTACCTTGACATAGTCATAGAAACAGCCTTCAGAAGGCTCCAGGTTAAACTGCCAGAAGACGAGCTTCACCCTGTATCCTTGGGGGACCGTGATCACAGTGGTTCTCTCAAAGTTGTTGGGGTAAGGCTTGGGGTACAGAGGGGAAGTCACCTCCCCAAAGAGCTTCTGAGGGATGAAGATGGAGCCTCCCATGCTGCAGAACAGGCCTGCCACTAGGAGGTAAGAGAGCCACCTGCCGAAAAGAAATAGGGTATTTGTAGGGCTAGAGGGGTGCAGCACCCTTGCCGTTTGGAGGGTGGCTAGGCCAGGAGATGGGATGGTCATAACACTCAACATGTTCCTCTCTGCCCCTTCTAGATCTTACATAGATGTTCCAGGTGCGGGCGGGTGGAGGGGGGCCGATCTGTGCAGCTTGCGACATTGGATGTTCCTCCACAGGGCAGAGTCCGGTCCAGAGGTCAGCACACTCCCTTCGATTCACTCTCCATCCTCCTCCCCTGCCTCATCACTCCCCTCCCCTCCCAGATGTGGCCCTTTCCTGGAACAGGACTGGCTTGGAACCAGTTTAATTGAGGGTGAGGGTTTCCCGTCATGGCTCTTTGAGAAGGCTCCCAAAGGCTCAGCAAAGGCCTCTGGGAGAAACCGCCTGCAGAGTATGGGAAACACACACAGAGGATACTCCTCCTGGGCAAAGTGGGTCCCCTTGTCTTGGCTGCTCCCCTGCTATGAGCTGGAGGAAGACAAGGAATGTGACCATCCCCTCATATGTCTAAGATCTCCTTTTGTTCTGAGGAGGAGGGTTGGGGTTTGTGTTTGTGTGTGTGCACCCGTCTGCACCTTGGAATAGATTTGGTATATGGGGAGGAGAAGGGTGGTCCTGTCTTCCCAAGTCAAAATTTGGGAGTGGGGTGGCCTTCTGTGCCCAAGAGTCTCCCGCTTGGTTTCTCGCTCCCTCCTTGGTCCCCATCAGCCTTACTCACATTTCTCAAGGCTTGTGCTTAGATCCTTGCCTCTCCTGACAGCGTCTTCATGAGCTCTGTGTTGAGGGAGAGTTCATGCGCTCTCTGTTGAGGGAGAGAGCTGTCGTGCAGAGCAGAGAAGGCGGAGGGAATGACTGGAGGTGGGAGGAGGGGGGACCATTCCCGGAGAATGTTGTAGGGAATGAACTATTTGCGTAAACAAAAAAATCTGAGTTTCCACTTTAATTTACTTTTGGTTTTGAAGTCCCTGTTGGTGGTGCCACCTGCTGGCCTACTTGGGGAAGCTCTAAGGAGATGGGTCTGAATTTTTAGGGACAGGGAAGCCTTTGGTTGGAGGCCCAGACTCCTCGGTTTCCAAACCCAGATCTGAATTCTCCCTTTTCCCAGGGACTTTCCTAGGGACTGCTGCTGTGTGTACCAGGTTCCTACCCAAAGGGCAATGGGAAATCACAGGTTGAAGAGGGTGTAGGGTGACTCTGCTCTTTCCCATTTACCCTGTTCTTCCTGTCCTTAGTCACCTAGCAGCCCTGGCCTGGGAATGGCCAGGGTTTCAGTGCCCAGGATGAGGTGACAGAACAATGGGGCTGGGGAGTGCAGCTCAGAAGTGGACAGAAGAGAATGGAATTTAGTTGCATTGAGGCACTGGCCTCCTTTACTCTTGAATGACACCTAGATGTAGAATAGGGATTGCCATGTCGGGGCAACCCTAAAGCTGTCTGTTTTGAGGTCTGTTTTGAGACCCTCCCTCCCACCTCAGTAAACTCAGGCCTGCAGACTTGACTCTTAGAGAAGTAATGGCAGTGAGGAGGGGGTAGAAACATCCTCTTTTCCTCAGCACCTTGTCCAGAGTTTGAGCCCCCAAGGGTTGCAGTTAGCTAGGGCTAAGCAGAGGGTGTGAATGTGGACCCACAGTGACTTGCTCCTTTCTGGACTTAGCTTTTCTGAGAGGAAGTCCAGCCCCTGGGAGGCAGTAGGGGCTCTTGTCTCTTCTGTCCACCAGGCTATAGTGTCCTCTTTTAAAACTTGGCTCTTTCTGGAGGCCTTTCTTGATCAATTCTCCATGACTCCAAATACCCTATGGCACTTTACCCCATGAGGAGGCAGGCTGCAGAGCAGACCTCTGAATTCTTATGCATTCATAGGCTGTCCTGCTTGTTGCCCCTATTAGATTAACCCATCCATCCACCCATCCTTGCATCCATTTACAGGCAGATACTCTCTCAGGCAGTGGATTGCAAAGACTTGGGAAGATGGGCAGTGACCCTGAGTGTAGTTAGTGAGTAGGCACAGGGAAGGCGCAAGATCAACTAAGGGTTTCTCCAGCAGGCTTATGTGTCAGAGCTGAGGGATGAATCCGATGGCAGGGCTGATTCACGATTGGCGTGTCAGAGCAGGAAAGACAAAAGATAGGGGAGAGGATAAGATTCAGTCAGAAGATGAGAAGGAAGGAGAATCTTGTGTAGCAAATTGCACATTATCATCCTGGCTGCAGTGTGTGTGTGTGTGTGTGTGTGTGTGTGTGTGTATACACAGAACAGAACAGGATGGTAGAGGTAAGGAGATAGTGGTCCAAGAACGTTAAGTCTTAGCTGAAGCTCTTGCATCCATCCCCAGGGCGCTCAGTTCTGTCCTGGTATCAGGCAACACGGCTGCAAAGTGACAAACAGCCCAGCCCCCACTCTGTTCAATAACCAGAACATTTGCTCACACGTTTTTGTTATGCTGTTGACTTATACCAAGCTCGGAAAGAACAAACAACCATATAAAGATTGCTCCTGCATAACACTGGTACTGAAGACATTGTCTGTTATACTGGTCATTTCTCTTAGAATTTGATTCTAGGGAGGAAAAACTTTTTCTCTTAAAGTGATGATAGGTTTCCCTCTGTGAAATATATGTCTATGTATAACCTTGGCAGGGAGAAGCTCATCTCAATAATAAAAAAAATAAAAATATTATTGCTCATTAATAAAAATTAATTTTTATTTTTAAATAATAAAATAAAACATGCCTATCACGGATTGAATTGTGTCCCCCCAAAAATGTGTGTAGCAGTTGGGCTAGGTCATGATTCCCAGTATTGTATGATTGTCTACCATTTTGTCATCTGATGTGATTTCCCTATGTGTTGTAAATGTTACCACTATGATGTAATAAGATGGATTAGCAGCAGTTATATTGATGAGGTTTACGAAATTAGATAGTGTCTTAAGCCAATCTCTTTTGAGATATTAAAGAGAGAAGCAAGCAGAGACACATGGCAACCTCATACTACGAAGAAAGCAGTGCCGGGAGCAGAGCGCATCCTTTGGACCTGAGGTTCCTACGCTGAGATGCCCAGACTAAGGGAAGACTGATGCGTCACAAGGACCTTCCTCTAGAGCCGACAGAGAAAGCCTTCCCCTGGAACTGGCACCCTGAATTTGGACTTGTAGCCTATTAGAATGAGAGAACAAGTTTCTCTTTGTTAAAGCCATCCACTTGTATTTCTGTTATAGGCGCACTAGATGACTAAGACAATGCCCTTTAAACAAAGTTTGACAGGTAAAGAAGAGTAGGGGGAAAACAAAGCAGCCAAAACTGTACCACCTACAATAACATCTGTTTAAGATTTTGAGAGTTTTTTCTATAGTCTATCATACTGTGCTTAGGTTTAAAAAATAGAAGTAATCACAGGTACGCACAATTTTGAATCCTGCTATCGTTTTTAAGATAAATTTAACCTTTAATCATAGTAGCTAACTTGATGCTCATGGCTAACAAAATTTGCTCTCCTATCTGTTTTATGGTATTCATTTTCTCTTTCCACTTGAATGGTTACATCATTTGGTTTATTTGTGTTTTTTACTGTAAATCATTTCAAGTCATCACTGAAAATTAAACAGTTGGTCTTCTCAGGTGTAGCAGTGCCCCCCGAAGACAAGGTCAAGGGGTTCACTGACAGGAGCACAGACTGGGGTGTCCAGGAGCACTGGGGTGTGTATGTAGGAGACCTGCTGATGGAGAGAGTGAGCCAGGTGTTGTTGTCTTCACTGAAGCAGGAATTCCCAGGGAGGGAGACTCTGTAAGGGTGTGAGGAGTTGGAAGGGAAAGTAGGGAAGTGGGAGATACAGTAGGTCTTGAGGACAACTGAGAGGTATCATGGCATACGGGAAAGAATGTGGCCTTTGCAGGCACATACCAGCTGTGGAACTTGGGCAAGTCATTTTACTCCTTGAGCTTTAGTTTCCTCATTTGTAAAATGTGGATAATAACACACCCTTTGCAAACTCAGTGTGAGGATTAAATGAAATAACATATGTGAAGCACCTGGCATATAGAAGATGTGGAGGAAAAAAAAAGGAGCTATTACTATACTTGCATCCAGAAGTTGTGATAAGTGGTGAAGCCAATGGCTTGGATATTTAAAGGGTGACTAAAGGGGCTTTGTAATGTTTCAGAAATGAAATGCAATTAAGACCACTTTCTCTTTATGGGGCCTCCACAGTGCTGGTCCCTGGTTGTCACCAGGGTCAGTTGAGGTTGAGATGCCCCAGGGTCAGTCTTTCCCCTCCATCACTCTCTTAATCCAGTCCACATAGTTGAGCACTTTGGTATAGAAGTCATACCCCTTTCCACACCCGATGCCCCAGGATACAATGCCCGTGGCCACCCAGTGATGGGCACAATCATCCCATACCACATAGACGCTACCGCTGTCCCCATGGCAGACACTCTGCTGCTGCATATTATTCTCTACACAGAACATGTTGTCAGAAAAAACCTCAGTCCGCTGCCTCTTTCGGAGCCAGGCCTCACAGGCCTCCCTTTTGGCTATGGGCAGCCTTGAGTATTTCAGATCAGTAGTTAACCAGCCCTTCTCCACACCAAACCCACTGACATAGCCCAACAGGCCACTGAGGTAGAGGGTCTCATTGTCAGGTAGACAGACTGGGAGGACATGGGGGCCCAGGGGGACACTGTGCTGGAGCTCCAGGAGAGCAATGTCCCCGTCGAAGTTGTGGGACTCATTCTGATGGTAGTCTGGGTGCACGATGACGCGGCGGACAGGATAGTTTCCTAGTTTCAGCATCTCATCTATGTTTGTGTGGCCCAGGAACACATACACACTCGGATTCTTCTTGGGGAAGATGCTGTCCTTGGGATGGATGGTGTGGGCAGCGGTGAGGACCCATCTATCGCCCAGCAGGGCTCCGCCTCCACGGCCGTGGATACTGGTGAAGGCTTGCCAGGGGAAGTTGCCCAACTGAGCTCTGGAAGAACCAAGGGATTCTTGGTTCTGGGTGATGGGAGAGACTGGTCGTCCACACACTGGAGAGAAGAGAGGGAAGGGTGAAAAGTCACGGCTGCATTAAGATGTATTTATTAAAGACCCCTTTCTGTGAAGTGTTGTCCAGGTAGGTTGTGCAAGGAAGGTCCCAGATATGGCCCTGCACTGGGCCAGAAGGACTCTACACTCTCTTGCAGACTTACAGGTGTGGGCCAGATGGACAGACATGAACAGCAAATCAAGTCAGACGGTACTGGGTGCATGTCCTGTATAGGACTCAGGACAGTGAACTGAGAGGTAGAGAGCACAGATGAAGACATGCTTAGGGCGGGCTCTGCTGGGCTTCCCCTCCTGCCTCCTCACCCATCTTTAAGGCACTCTTTTAGACACTTGATGGGACCATCACTGGGCAAAATCAAACAACAGGTAGAGTTTTCTTCAGTGCCTCTTGTCTCTGTTTTCTGTGTCATTTCCTCATTCACAACATCTCCCACAACCACCCACCCTCCAACCCACTCCCAAAGCACTAGGAGCCTACAGCATGCCCATACAGCTTTCTGTGGACCGGAAGTAAAGTCTGAGAAATGTACTCAGACTGGGTTAGGAAGGCAATGCTTAACTGAAAAAAAAAAAAAAAAAAAGGATTAAAAAATGGTGAACTTGAACCCTGACACATTGCAGGTGGGAATGTAAAATGGTACAGCTACTTTGGAAAACAATTTGGCAGTTTCTGAAGAAGTTAAACATAGAGTTACCATGTAACCCAACAATTGCACTCCTAGGTATATAAAGAAAACCCAAACCTTTTGCTGTTGGGTCGATTTAACTCATGGTGACCCCATGTGTGTCAGAGTAGGACGGTGCTCCACAGGGGTTTCAATAGCTGTGACCATTCGGAAGCAGATTACCATGTCTTTGTTCTGAGGTTCTGCTGGGTGGATTCTAACCACTAACCTTTTGGTTAATAGCTGAGTATAAATTGTTTGCATCACCTAGGGACCTTCCTAGGTATATAAAAGAATGTTTATAGTAGCCTTATTCATAACAGCTAAGAAGTGGAAACAACCCAAATGTCCATCAACTGATGAATGGATGAACAAAATGTGATACATCCATCCAGTGGAATAGTATTCAGTCATAAAAAGAAATGAACTATTTACTGATACATGCTACAATATAGATGAACCTTGAAAACACTGTGCTAGGTGAAAGAAGCCAGTTACAAAGGACCACATATTGTATGATTCCATTTATATGAAACATCTAGAATAGGCAAATCTATAGAGCAGAAAGTAGATTAGTGGTTGCCAGGGGATGGAGGAGGGGAGAATTGGAGGTACAGGGTTTCTTTTTGGGGTGATGGAAATGTGCTGGAATTAGATAGTGGTGATACTTGCACAGACTTGTGAATACACTAAAAACACTGAATTGTACACTTTGAAGTAGTTAAAATGGTGAATCTTATGATATATGAATTTTATCTCAACTAAAAAACAATTTTTAAAAAGGTGAACTTTCTGGCGCTGTGGCGTCTAGGTAGGGAGATATTTTGGAAGCAGAGAGGCTGTGTGTATATCCTTAAAGCAGACCATACAAAGACAGAATTTTCTCTCATGTCAACTATTCTGTCCCTCCTCCTTCACTTTGGTATCTAATTAACTTCTTTCATTCTTTAACCTTCTCAGATGTCTCTTGACCCTTAAAGAATAAGGGACAAGCCCCTTGCCTCTCCTGCTTTGGGCCTTCTTGATTCTCCTTTTCTTTCTCACCTTCTGCCTATATTTCTCTTTTTTATCCCAAGGCTTTCCTTTAACCCCATCTATCTCCCCCTCCCCTATTCTCAATTCCCACAGGTCGCAGCTATAGCCAAGGCTTGTTTGGGAAATGGCCATAAGGACAGCGCTGGGCAGGTCACTACTCACCAGGCACACACTGAGGCGCCTCCTCCCTATTCTGTCTGTGCTTCCAGGTGCCCTGGGTTGTTCCTGAGGAGTGAAATGAGGAAAGGCAAAGAAAAAAGTTTCAGAGTTGGGAAGTGTTGGGCTAAAAGAGTAGGTTCCCACAGGGCCTCAGGACTTTTGGTAGTGGGAGTGTGGCACATGGGAATGGGTATCTCAGCAGGCGGGTACTCACCTGCTAGCATCGCCTGATAATATGGCTCCTGGCAATGGCTCTGGATCTTGGAGGAGTTGTCCCCACGTGGGCTGATGGCCTCGGAGCTCTCACTGGCCTGGCTGATGGGCTGACTATCATTCACACCTATCAGAAAACAGCAGTCATTAGGACCTCGGACAGAGTTGCAAACCGGCAATCCAGGAGCTGGTTCTGGCCAGGGCCATATTTAGCTTGGCCTGCACAATGTTTTCTTAGAAAACATTTTAACTGTTTTTCATTGGTCAGATTGTCAATGATCAGAAAGTTTGAAAATAGCATGGTAAATAGGGTATGGGGAAACAAGTACCTTCATACAGGGTTGGAAGGAATGAAAATTAGCAAAACCTTTTTGGAGGAAAATTTAGCAATATCAAAATTAAAAAATGTAAACATTTTTTGACCCAGCATTTCTATTTCTAAGAATTTGCCTTAAAGATATTCTTACACGTGCTCGAAGATGTATATACAAAGATATCCACAGCAACACTGTTTGCGACAACAAAATATCTACTAGTGGGGGACTGATTAAATACAGTATGACACATTACTCAAAGGACTATTATATGGTCATTAAAAAAGAATGAGGCAATGCTAACTATACTCATATGAAGGGGTCTCTAAGATATATCACTGAGTGAAAAATGGTTAAGTTTTGTACATTGTGTAGAGTATACAACACACACACAGTATTTATATTTGAATGACACAAAATGTCTTCGGAAGAATACTCAGGAAATGGAGAATGGGGTTATTTTTGGACAGAGTAACGGGACTAAGAGTCAAAGATCAGACGGATTTTGTTTTTATCATAGTGTCTTTTTATTTAAAAAAATTTTTTTTATCATATACATGTATTATCTTAAAACAAATCTGAGTCACCACTCAAAAATCTAGAATTTCACTTATATATCTGGATTTTTGGCTTTTCTTGGAAAATGAGATGATCTGCATACAATGGGCCTGTCTGGGGTGTTGGAGCTGAGCAGTGGCTGCCCTTTAATGCGGGTGCTTGCTCAGCAGGGTCAGGCTGGGCAGGGATGGGGCCCAGCCCAGGGATCACTAAGCTCCTAGCCTTAGCTGTCGCTCTAGCTCCCTTAGGTTACCTAGGGGCCATGGCTGGGGGAAGTGGTTGCCCTCCCTATACCCCCAGGAGGGACACTCACCCACAGCTTGGTAGAGGGCCAGGAAACCCCTGTGGAGGCAGGTGGTCCTGTTCTCCAAGGAGGCATCTGTGTGGAAGTTCAGCTGTAGCCTTCTTCCTGAGGACACAAACTCCCTTTGACCAGGTGGACTGCCCAGCAGGGAGCCCTGCTGCCCACAGAACCGGCTTGGAGCTGTCCCACTGGCTGTGATCTGAAAGGGGAGGTGAGGAGTGAGGGTCAGGCAGGTGTGGGGTGAATTCTGCATCATGGGTGGTCACAGGGTCGAGTCATCGGTGTAGACTCCAGTTCCCTTTAGAGAGTCTGCATACCTCTGGGGCTCTGAAGCCATACCCTGTGAAGCCTTCCTCAAGTAACTTCCTGTTCCATTACTGACTCCCAAGATTCTTCCAGACATCTCACACTTAGACTATCTCTTTAGCTTACCATAATTATCTCATAAAGCCCACCATCTTTGCCTTCTTTCAAGAAGCTCCTTGTGAATCTCAGGGTTCCTCTAACAGTCCACTGAACCATAAGCTCTAAGAAGGCAGGGACTTCATCTTTTTTGCTCATGACTTGAGTCCCTGGTGCTCAACATGCTGTCTATAGCACCACAGTTTCGAGTCATCATCGACTCATCATATACAGACTAACTCCCTCCCAACTGGTTCCCCCTCTCCATCACCTTCCACTTCTCTAAGTAAATTTCTATGGCCCTTATCTTTGAAGCAAGGAGACCCTCTTGAAAGGTTTGAGTCCCTGGGGTTCCTGACCTTTCCTATTCTCCTTGTTTTGAGTATTCCCCCTCTTATCTTATGGATTGTAAATGAAGCCCTCACAATGTACAGGAATCTCAGAGCACAAAATGTACATAGTATGGTACTCAATCTCCTTCTGACTACCTCGCCCTGCTTAAATCCCTTTCTGTGGTTCTGAGCCCCAAACGGAGGGTAACTTGGAAGGCATTCCCTGGCCCAAGCTTCACGATTAATCTCTATTCCAGGCACACTGCTCACTGCTTAGTTCATTTATTTGTGACTTTGATATTAAACCATATATCCTGGGTTCTTCCTAGCTCTTCATTCCTTTATTCTCCCCAGATCTCATTCCTTTAAGATTCCATGCAGCCCATCTCACTGTGATTAGTATTAACTGGGTAAACGCTGGCATGAAGAAAATTTCTCAGTTACCCCAAATGCCTTGCTTGGGCATGTCCCAATACTGTTTTTTCCTTACAGCAGTAACAAATGTTAACTCACTACATTTAAGAAGCATATATATTGGGGAGGAAGCATTTTGCTACAGGAAAACGTCCTTTTCTGATGTACTCTGTTGTAAAACCCTCCAGTTTTCTTTTTTTTATCATCCTCATGAATTGTTAGCTAAACAAAATCACTTAGGAGTCTGTTATGTGTTATATTGTGTCCCCCAAAAAGATATGTTGAAGTCCTAAGCCCTGGTACCTGTGACTGTGATCTTATTTGGAAACAGGGTCTTTGTGGATGTAATTAGTTAACATGGGGTCATACTGAATTAGAGTGGGCTCCAATCTGATATGACTGGTGTCCTTATAAAAGAGGAGAAGAGATACAGAGACACACAGAGGGAAGACAGGCATGGGATGATGGAGGCAGAGTTTGGAATGATGCGATTACAAGCCAAGAATTGCCAGGAACCACCAGAAATGATGAAGAGGCAAGGAAGGGTCTTCCCCTAGAGTCTCCAGAGAGAGCATGGCCCTGCTAGCAGCTTGATTTTGGACTTGTAGCCTCCAGAACAGAGAAACAATAAATTTCCGTTGTTTTAAACCACCCAGTTTATGGTACTTTGTTACCACAGCCCTAGGAAGCTAATACAAAGGTTAACTAGCAAGGTAGAATGAACCCAGGACTGAGAGGCATAAGCCTATGTTAAATTCCAGACTTTGCTCCTAACTGTCTGTGTGACAAGGGGAGTTTCTTAACTGTCCCAGATCTCAGTTTCCCCTCATATAAAATGAGACCTCCTATAAAATGGTCTGTGAGGCCTCTTCCAGCTAGGACAACACAACATCCTATGGGAGCTCTCCGGTATCTGCACCAAGAGCAGCGCCGAGGGTAATAATAACTGCTCATACAAAATTTATTCTTGTCATGCACACATGGTAAGCATGGCTTTCATCCATTCTTTCATTTGCTCAACAAACGTTTGATTATGTACTATGTGGGAGATACTGTGCTAAGTGCTGGAGATACAAATATGAATAAGACACAGTTGTGATACTGAGAAGCCCACACAGTCTGGCTGAGGATACTGACAAGTAAAACATGAATAGACTACAACGTGCTGATTTCTGCAGTTGAGAGGTGTGTGTGTATGTGTTTGTGCGTGTGTGTGTGTGACTTGCTCTGGCTGCACAGGGGAGAGAGGAATCCTGTTCCAGAGCTTGAACTCCCACAATGATAACGGAAGAGTGAGGCTGGGATTAAAATTTTCCAGGACCAATAGGAACAAGGCTAATGGTAGGTGCTCAACAGACATAGGCTGAATTGAATATAGTTCTGACTTCTGGTTAAACCTGAAGCAATAAATGCATGAATTTATCTCCTCTTCTGCCTCAAACCCCACTAATACAACAGCAAAGGGATAAAAAGGAGTACATAATCAAAGACAAACAAGTGAGAAGAGACGACCGCAGATGGAAGATAGAACGGAGATGGACAAGAGGCATCCTGAGTCTGCAAGGGTGAAAGCCAACACAAAGCAAGAATCCTGGAAAGATTCAGAAATGCAAGGAACCAAGAACCCCTGAGGTTGGGGATGAGGGCAGCGCTGACAAGAGGAAGACTGCAGAAAGCCTACGTAGAGAGACCTCAGACCCTAGTTCCCCTTACCTACCCTATGCATTCAGGCAAGTCCCTCTGCCCCACTCTGGCAGGAGACCTGAGCTTGAACCAGGAACCCTGGACTTGGGGGTCACAGACAGACCTGAAAGAGGGGATGAAGGCCAGTACTGAAAACAGAGGGATTAAGTGAAAGTCTGCAGTGAGACACAACCACCCCCCACCCCATCTCCAGCCCTTTCCCAGGTTGTTTACCAGAATGCTGGCAGGAGACTGGAGGATTCCTCTCTGAAGAAACCGGTTGTCCCAAAAGAAAATACATCTACATACTGACATTTGGGAGGTCCTCAATAACACACTTAGGCCACCTTGTTGATAACCTTATTTTCAAGCCTATCATTTGACACATTTCAGCTCTCCTCACAGCAGTAGCGTCACTAAGGGGGTACAGGCGGTGTGGACAACACCAAGGGACACTGTCAGAGGGGGTCCACCAAAACGACTGTCTATAAAATTTCTGCGCAGTGTTTCAGCAGCAATTGATTATTTTTTTTAATAAAAATGTCCATGTAGTTAGTTGTAACAACAAAAACACTTTCGTAAGCCCAGCTTGCATGTATCAATATATCTACAAGGCTAATTTACTTTTTGAACCTTTTAATGCCATCCCAGTCAGAGCTGTCATTATTATCCAGTTACAAGGATGTTTCCAATCATGTGGTTTCATATGCACACGCTATAAGCATGCGCTGTTGTTTTCATTGCTGCCAGTGTTTTTATAGTCGCTGATTTTGTCAAATTTTCTGGTGTTTTAGCGACGTTGTGGTAATTAGCATTCGTGAACCTATATCAAGAACTTTTTTTGAGAATGAAGTAGCAATTACAGGAAAAGGAGAAAAATAAAAAACTCTTTCACTCGGTTACTAGTAATGTTGTAACTAATGATGTTGTAATTCAATGTAGAAAGATTTTACAAAACAGTTTTGTTGTTAGTATTCATATAATCTAGGAAATATTACATTTAAGGAATTTACAACTATATCATATATTACTCTATGATTAAAATTGATAATAAACATTACTAAGGATTCTATATGGTCTGGTATGGGAAGGGGTCCATGGAAGCGGAGGGGTGACACCACGAGTTACCGCACTGGGTGACAACCCTAGTGACATCACTGCCTCACAGAGCTTCTAGTCAGCATTGTAGTGCTTCACTCTTAAATATGAGTGGACAGCCAAGGATTATCAGACACTGCAGGAAAGTCTCTAACATGAAAAGCAGAGACCAAAACAAGCAAACAGTAAAAAGGAACTTGGATGAAGCAGAGATAATACAAGGAACAGAAGAAACATTTAAAAAAATCCCCAAATATAATTAATATCCAAAGAGGGAAAAAAAAGGAGATATTGCATTTGTGAAACAAGAAAAAGTTTCCTTAAAAGGGCACATTTAGAAAGTAAGAATGAGCCTTTAAGGGGGAAAAAATGTTAGCAGGCATAAAACATTAATCAAAACAGTCGGATTTAAAGATGAGGAAATCTCCCAGAAAGTGGAACAAAACACCAAGAGTTGGAAAATAAAACAGGACAGGTAATAAAACTAGAGAATCAATCCAGAATATACAACAGCTGAATTAGAGGGGTTCTAGAAAGGCACGATAAAGCAAGCAGACGTCTGGAAATGATTAAAGAAATACTATAAGAAATTTCCCAGAATTGAAGGACTAGATTAAAAGAATCTCTGGATTTCAAGAGCCCTGAACAATGAGCGAAAAATGACCTGCATCAAGACACATTATAACGATATTCAGAACACTGGGAATAAGGAAAATACTCCGAAAGTTTCTAGAGAGGAAAAACTAAGGATAAAACTTCTTAACAACACTAGAACTAGAAGATAATATCATCAAAATTACGAGAAATGGCTTCCAACCTAGAATGCTATATCCAGACAAATCATCCACAAACTGTAAGCGTAGAAATAAGGCAGTTAGGGATATTTAAGATCCTCTAAAATTGACCTCCCATGTACCCTTTCTGAGGAATGTGCTCCTTCAAAAAACAAAAACGAAAAACCCCAAAATAACCAGCTGTCACTGAGTCTATTCTGACTCATGGTGGCCCCATGTGTGTCGAAGTGGAACTGTGCGCCATAGGGTTTTCTTTTTTGGTTTGGTTTTTATTTTATTTTTATTTACTTATTTTTATAATTTATTTTATTTTTTGTTGTTGTTGAGAATACACACAGCAAAACACACACCACTTCAACAGTTTCTATGTGTACAATTTAGTGACACTGATTACATTCTTCGAGTTGTGCAACAATTCTTATCCTCCATTTCTGAGTTGTTCCTCCCCTATTAACAAAAACTCACTGCCTTCTAAGTTTCTATTTAATCTTTCAAGTTGCTGTTGTCAATTTGATTCCCTACAGATGGATCTTAAAAGAGCGCAATGCTCAAGGCAGACATTCTTTACTAGTCATAGGGTTTTCAATGGCTGATTTTTCCAAAGTAGATTGCCAGTCCTTTCTTCCAAGGCACCTCTGGGTGGACTTGAACCTCCAACTTTTTGGTTAGTAGCCGAGCAAGTTAACCGTTTGCACCACCAAGGGACTCCAAAACTTGGGAGTAAACTAAGAAAGATAAAGACATGGGATTCAGGTCTAACACAGGACAGGTAAAGGAAATCTCCAGAATGAGGGAGAAGGGAATTCCCAGGATGTGTGAAGCCTTAGGGAGCAAAGAACTCAGACTGAAAAAGGGAATCTGAGATCTTTAGATGGGATGTCATCAATAAAAAGGAGGATTGATAGACTGAGATTTGTGCTCGAATATGATCGCAGGGGATTTACACTCCCAGCTAAGAGTTTGGGGAGATTAGTTACACAGAGAACTAAGCAAACTAAAAATCAAAACAAAAGAAAAAACAAAAGCAAACAAAAAAACCCCAAGAACTCCATATAATTATTGACTTCTGGGAAAACCAAAAGTTGGAGAAGAAAAGAAACATAATTATTGCACACTGGGTGCAATATTTGTGGTGAGTATTTTACAGTAATAATAATGTAAACAATGAATATAGATTTAACCAAACATGATGATATAAGTGAATTGGGAGGATGGGGGAGGGGAAATGCAGCCCTTAGACCAGAGAGCTAAAGCTAGTCATCTTCTATAGTTGGAAGTTAGTAGATAGTATCTAAAAATGAAAAATAAAAAATAACAGCATAAGCATGTTATTTATACATATGAAGGTAACTACTAGACGAATTATAAATGACTGCCCTTGAGGGTAGCAATGAGAGGTAGGGAGGAGAAGGCTGGAAGACAGCTGTTTTTCATTATAAGTCTTGCTGTGCTTTGATTTTTCAAGCTATGTACATGTATTATTTTGATATAAATAAAATTTAAACCAAAAGATAATATAAAGTACTGCTTTTAAAGTGCCCTTATTCTGAATAACGTCCTTGTCATGAGAAGTCTTGTAAGAACTCCTTTAAGGTAAGCTTGAATGGTTACCTAATATTTTTGTGCCCAGCTTCCTAACCTGACAGAGCAGACACTCAACAAATATTTGATGATATACTTTTAATGACTGAGGTGTGAGTCCCTGCCCTTTCACTCTGTAGATTTGCAATATTTGTGTGTCCCTTTGTAATTTCAAAAGCCAGGGCCTGTCCTGACTCTCTCTCCTTTGCTCTGTGGTGCGTCTAGATAGTGGCTGCTACAGAGACACTCATGGAAAGCTGTGCGCTGGCCCCAGTGCCCCTGACTTAGGCTCTTCGTCTACCCTCTTTGATTCCTCCTTTGTGGTCAGGGCAGAGCCACCTCCCACCGCCCCTGGTAGGCTCCAGGCGCGGGGCTTCCTCCCGAGCACCCCTCCAGGGCCCCACTCCAGCTCACTGTGACAGAGTCCTGCTCACAGTCCTGGGATGGCGCCAGGTCGAAGTCCTGGAAGACGAGCCTCACAACAAAGCCCTCTGGTGCCTCGATGTCAGTGGTGCTCACTTGGCCTTTGAGATATGGCTCTGGGTACCCAGGGGATGTCAGCTTCTGGGGTAGCCTTTGGGCCAAGAGGACCAAGCCCTGTGTGGGGAAAGCCTGGAGGACTCCGCAGAGGAGCAGCCACCACCTGTGAGTGGGTGAGGGCAAGATGAGGCCACACAGATACAGACTGGGGCTTGTGGAAATATGAGGAGTGGGGCAGGTGATGCTAAGGCATTGAAGCTTGGCAGAGGCAGAGGTCACTAGCTGTGGCCTCAGCTCTAGAGGCCTGGGCATCTTCTCTGTCTACTCCTTTATTGCCCCTCCCTCACCTCAATCCCGTTCAGCCTCCTACTCAGCCTGAGCTCTAGGTCTGCCAGTTTCCCACCCTCTGAAGACATTACTGTTGCTCATCTCTGTGGAGGGTCTCATTCAGAGTAGGGGGCTGCTTTCTGCTTTAGAAAATCCCACCTCCACCCCGGGATCTAAGGGAGCAATGGTGGTAAAAGTGAGGGGCATTTAATATACTAGTTTCCTGGCTCAGAGTTTTGTTCCTCTTCCTGACCACCCGTGGAAGGCTGCTGGGCTCTACAGTAAGTTTCAATTCCAGAGTGTGTGTCCCTCTCACCCTCCCCTCTCCCTCCCCTTTTCTTCCTCCTCCTCTAGGCCACCCCATGGAGCACACTCACATCTTGCCTGGGCAGCTTTCGGGGTGGGGGTTTCTCCAGAGATAGTTTCCCCACTGTGAGACCAGGGATCTGAGACCTGAAAGAGGAATTGGCCCAGGCGAGGATACAGGAGGAGGGGCTGGAGAAGGCCCTGTGGGGGAGGAGGGAGAAGTTACTGGAAATGAGTTAAGTATAGAGTTCCCTTTTTCTAACTCTCTCGGTTGGGCGCCACCTGCTGTCTGACTTAGGAATAGCTTACCCAGCACAATTTAGAAGAACATCTCCAAAATCACCCTGGTCCTCTGAGATCAGGGGTGGGAGGACACTGACTCTTGATTCTTTTGTACCATTTAAAACTAATTTTTATCATGTGCATGCATCACACATAGTAGGATGGCTCTTGTGAATGGTGGCTGCCCCTTTAATCAGGCTATACCTCTCCACTTGGCCCTCGCCACTCATTTATGTAATCTGCCTGCGTCTTGTAGAAATTAGAGTTGGTGACCTGTGAACTTGAGCTCCTCCTTCTCTCTTTCTCCTCACCGAGCATGGGTAGGAGGTACTCGCTTAGGTAGTCTTTAGACTTCTGCCCACAGCCCCTGGAGGCTGCTTGCGCAGCAGGGTCAGGCTGGGCAGGGATGGGGTCCAGCCGAGGGGTCCCTAAGCCCTCAGCCTCAGCTATCACTCTAGCTCCCTTAGGCAGCTACCCAGGGCCATGGCTGGGGAAAGAGGTTGCCCTCCCTACACCCCCAGGAGGGACACTTACCCATGGCTTGGTAGAGGGCCAGGAAGCCCCTGAACACAAACTCCCTCTGACCAGGGACTCTGCCTAGCAGGGAGCCCTGGTGTCCACAGAACTGGCTTGGAGCAGTTCCACTGGCTGTGATCTGAAAGGGGAGGGGAGGAGTGAGGGTCAGCCAGGTGTGGGATGAATTCTGCATCATGGGTGGTCACAGGGTCATAACCTGAGTGTGGACTCCAGCCGCCTCTAGAAAGCCTGCACACTTTTGGGGCTCAGAAGTCATAACTCATAGTGGCTTCATCAAATAGTTCTACTCACTGTTTATCTCTCCATTCTACTGACTACAAAGGTGGCCATGTGCCTAGAATGGCTCCTCATCCACTCTAGGTCTCCTTGGTCCACCTCTTTTTTCAAGAGGCTTTTTGGAACCCTTAGGGGCACTCCCAAACAGTCCGCTAGGCCAAACAGAACACTTCATTAAGGCAGGGACTATGCTACTTTGCTCAGCACCACTGGTGGCTAATACTGTCCCTAACCCATATAAACAATCATGAAATAAGTACTGTCGAATCTTGAATATATGGGTAGAAATATACTCTTAGCTACCTTCTTCCTTTCCTCCCCCTTACCCTAACCACCCCGCTCTCCACCCCACTATCACTTTGCTGAGTACTTTTCTGCTACCACCCGTTGGGGACCTAACGGTTCCCTCTTCCTTTTCTCCTGCAAGATCCTTCCTCCACCCCACATAGGGCAACAAAACGGATATAGTTGCAACATAGCTATCTAATGAAGGAGTAAGAAGCTCTAAACATACAAAATAAACTAAAAGAAAATAATGTGCTTCTGTAATATTTTGTAATTCTGTAACAACAATAAACAACTCTTTCTGTGTTCTCTTGGGGTCATCCCCCTCCCAAGTGATCTGGATCTTGCTTGAGTGCCACTCCTTTGGGTTCCTCTCCTTCCCAGAGCTTGCTCCCTCCATCTTTATTTTTATTAGCCCAAAGAAGAGCTTGGGAGGCAAGCCTTTTTGCCCCCATTTCATTAAGTAATCTCTACTCTGGGCCCACAGCACACTGCTCAGGTCCCAGGTGGCATGTTCTCCTCCTTCTTACCCTTCCTTTACTTGTCCCTTACCTATATTCCTTTCCTCCCTTTCTCCAGACCTTTGTTCCCTCACTTTCAGCCTTCTCCTAGATGCAAGTGTTAGGTCTGCCAGTTTCCAATCCTCTAAGGCTCATATTGCTCCATCTTCCTGGGGGAGTCTCTGACCTGAGTAGGTAGCTTCCTACTGGGCACTGGGCTGGGGAATTTTTATTTTCCCCCCAAGTATTAAGGCCACAGTGGAGATGGGGACCCCAAATATCCCAGCTATGGTTTTATAATCAGAGGTTTTGTCCCCTTATGATCATCCCCAGGAAAGGGATGCTATAAGCCACAGCCAAACTCCAAATCCCCTCTGAGTTAATGGAACTCAGGCTCTGTCCACTTCCTCCCCCTTTCCTCTTCCAGCCCTTCCCACATGGCTCACTTCTGTCTTTCTTAGTAGTTCCCTGGGCAGGGATTCCTCCTGGTAATTCAAATTATCAAAGACTGTTAAACTCTTTGCTTGAAAAAAAAAAGAAACAGAGTAATGAGATTTTACCTTTATGCCTGAAAGGAGAAGAAGAGAATCCCAAAGGTATTTTCTGGTCTAACAAATAAATAACAATCTCACAAGTATTTATGCTTTTTGGAAAATGAGAAGGCTAATTGAAATATTATTTCTAGAGCAATGCGTTATCCACAACCAACTAGAGTTGCAGACTTTTAGGGCTTATAGATTGCATTTCACTAGACATATAGCAATAATCTCTGAAGTATGAGTGCCTTAAAAGATTCCTTTATACAAATTACACTTCCAAAGTTGATATAAATGTAGTATAGAACAGGATTGTGCATTTCCAAACTAGTGAGATTGAATGTTCTTGATTCACCACTTTATCCAAATCAACTTAATGAAGCAGAATCATGTCTGAGTCTCTGTAACTGTAGGATAAGAGGCAGTATTTCTCATCTTCTTGAGAGCTCTTTCATTAGCATTTGTAGAGCTTGTTTTTAAAAACTAAGCACCAGAATTCTATTACAGAGTACTCAGGGTGGAAAGAGAAAAGGAAAAAAAAAAAAAAAAAAGCAGGCCTGAGAAGCTTAAATCATACAAAAGAAAAGAGAAAGTTAACAAATGGGATATGGGACACATAATGCTTTTCATCTATAATTGAGAAATAGGTCCTTTCACTTGGGTATGGCTCAAGCTAGGGAACAGGGCTGTGACTGGGGAAGGTTCCAGTAGCAGGAGGGGAAAGTTACTGGAAATATAGTCATTTTCAGCATGTCCTTTTTTAAATCTCTAGAGTAGACACTATCCGTTGTTTGACTTAGGGAGAGTCGAAATATTAGAGATAGGTTTTACCCACTTACTGGTCTTGGAGGCTTGATAGCTCTAAGACCAGGAAGGCCTCTTACCCACCTACACCTAGACTTTACTTGGAGGAGAAGCTGAAGGAAAATTCTGTGGTGGCTATGATGACAGTCCTTTTTTTTTTTTTTTTTAAAGTCTCTGAAAGATTGTCTTTCCATTTCTTTATGCTTTTGGGTCTCTACCAATCTCTCTCTAGTCTCTGGTTGTCATTATCTCTGCTCTTCCTTTCCAGGCCATGTGCCCGCTGAGGAGAGGAAAGGTAGTCCTGTAGAGGCACCAGGATCTGGCTTCATCAAATTAGGTGGCAGAGAGAGGAAGATCTTGGGTGAACGTGAGTAGAGTCCACCCTGTGGCATGAAGCTTCCCCTCAGCTCCTGGTCTACATGGTTCTGTCTTGTAATCTGCCTCAGGTTGGACATCTGACAGTACAGCCAGTATCTGAGGTCCTGTCTTCTGTCTGGATGTTAGAATGGGTAAGATGGCTGACTGTGAACTGCTTTGGCCTGTGGGCAGGGAAGCCTGATGGCCCTTAGCGGTTCCAGTTGGGCTACTTCTTGCAGATTGTAGCAGGGGGAGGAGGACAAAGAGAGCCCCAGAAGAGGGAGTCTCCTGCTGATACCTGCAGGTAAAAGCTCAGGACCTGCTGGAGCTGCTCATGAAGAAGGGCCATAACACGAGCCCCCAGGGATCTACCCTGGGAGGATGAGACACTGGATCATAAGGCTTAGGGGCCCATATTGTGTTCCTTGTCTCTCTGAGTAAGTTTCACTTCACTTCATCATACAACTATCTAACCAATCTATGAGCCCTAACAATACTGGAGTATTTATTTTTACCCACCCCGAATAACTTACTTGAAGAAATTCTTAGAGGCAGTAGTGCTCCTACCTCTTCATCATTGTCTTCATTTCCCTGAGTGACTCTGATAGGTCTAGCAAGACTGTTAGTGCCTTATCTACGAAAGTTATTAACCCTCCTTTTCCTTGAAGTTTGATGGAATAACTTTACCAAACCTTCCAGAACACCTCTTTAGGGTCACTGATAGGGAGACCATATGTCTCTGTTTGGCTGTAATGGTCCCACTTTACACTGGTGGTCCTGGGATAATTATTAATAGTGCCCCCTTTCCCTCTCAAAGGTGTCCTGGTTGGAGCCCCAGGTCATCCTAGTAGATACTTTGCAGCTACTTCAATATGGTGACTGTGCTACAAGAGCTCATTCTCCTACACTAGCCCCATTCACCCTCACCAATTGCTGTGGCCACGACCCAATCTGAACCTGGTTACCCTGAGCATTCTCTGGCAACTCTATGTCCAGTGCCTCGTTTACCATGGTCTCATTTGTAGCTGCAATGTGTGTTGGGGCCAGGGGTGTGGTTGGGTCAGGGAAGAAGCTTCTGGGGGGCTTGGGACTGGAGAAGGAGCCTGATGGTTCTGTGTATGGTGAGCCACCAAAGTCCCCTGTGTGGCTAGGGCAGGACAGCTGTGACCCTGTCTTGCTTTCAGCACCACCTTCCTTGCACAGGGACCTCCTCTCTGGCTGGCAGGGAGGCAGGAGTGGCTGTTGCACTGCAGCCTGTAGCCCAGGCAGGAGGAGCAGATGTAACCACCTAAGTAATTATGGTACTGGTGTGGACACAGGAGGTCTTCAGGGCCAGAACTTGGATGGCACTCATCAGCATCTTGGGGTGGGGAGGTGGGGACTTGGGCTCTGGAGCCTTGGAGAGGCGGGCAGGTTAGAAGGAGACTAGCACATTTTATCATCACCAGAGGCTTTTGCTCACCTTTACCTGTCTGGAAGCACAAGTAGGTATTAGGATAGACTGGGGGGTGGGGGGCTATAGCACGGAGCCTCTGAACCACCTCCCTGAGCTCCAGGCTGTGTAGGTGTATTGTTCTCTCATTGTGTGCTGTCTGGCTCATAACCAGGTTAAAAACTACTTGAGTGTCTTAGATATTTCTACTCTTATTCTCCTGAACCATGCATATATTGGGCAGACTCCAAGTAGCCTAGCTAAGATTAGACTAGAAGAACTGAGAATAGATTTTAGCTACTGCTCTTCTCAAGATAGTTTGCAGTTTGAGTTAAGCCAATTCAACTGCTTAAAAACAAAACAAAACAAAACAATACTCTTTGGGAGAACATCACAGAATCCATAGTCTTTACAATGTGTTAATAATCCTGATGTCTAAGATACAATCCAAAATTACTCAAAATATGAAGAACAGGAAAACACAAATTATTCTCAAGAGAACAGACTATCAACGGAGACCATCCCCAAGATGACCCTGATGTTGCAGTCAGCAGCACCTAAGAATTTTAAAGCAGCTATTATAACTGTCCTCAAAGAGGTAAGGAAAAACATGCTCATAGTAAACAAAAAAGGTAGGAAACAGCAATGGAGAAATAGAAACTATAAAAATGAACCAAATGTAAATTCTAGAACTGAAAGATACACTATAGGAAATAAAAAATTCACTGGATGGGCTTAACAGAAGAATGGCAATGGCAGAATAAATAGTAAGTGAACTTGAAGATCAATAAGTAGAAATTATCCAATCTGAAGAACAGAGGGAAAAGAAAAGAAGAAACACTCAGGGACCCATGGGACAATACAAAAAACCTCTAATATATGTGTTCTTGAAGTCCTGAAGAAGAGGATGGAAAAGATGAGGCAGAAAAAAACTCTGAAGAAATAATGGCTTAAAATCTCCAAACTTTGATGAAAGGCATAAATTTTCAGATTCAAGAAGCTCAGTAAACCCAAAGCACAACTGAAAATAAAAAGTACACATAGGCACATCATAATCAAACTTCTAGAAACCAGAGATAAAGAGAAAATCTTGAAAGCAGGTAGAGAAAAAGGGCACACAGCACACAGAGAATAACATTTTATATGTCACTGTTTTCTCATCAAAAACAACACAGGTCAGAAGATGGCAGAATAACATCTTTAAAACGCTGAAAGAAAAATAAGTTGTCAACCCAGAACTGCTTTTTCTGTGAAAAAATTCTTCAGGAATGAAGATGAAATAAAGCCATTTTCAGATAAATGAACACGAAGAGAATTTGTCACCAGCAGATCTGTACTGTGAGAAATGTTAAGGGAAATTTTTCAGGCTGAAGGGACATGGAACCAGAGGGAAGAACAGAGCTACCGGGTGGAATAAAGAGAAACAGTAAATTTGTAGGTAAATATAAATTATATTTTTTCATTTTAATTTCTTTGAGATACATGTAACTGTTTAAAGCAAAAATTATAATACCGTATTGTGGGATTTATAACATGTAGACAAAAGCTATAGCTTAAAGGATGAGGAGGTGTTAAAGGGACTCATACAGTTACAAGGTTCCTTCATTTCACATGAAGTGGAAGGTCCCTGGGTGGCACAAACAGTTTGTGCTTATCTACTAACCCAAATGTTGGCTGTTCAAACCCACCCAGCAGTGCCGCAGAAGAAAGTCCTGGCAATCTGCTTCTGTAGCGATTACGGTCAAGAAAAGCTTATGGAGCAGTTCTACTCTGTAACACATGGGGTTTCCATGAGTTGGAATTGACTTGATGGTAATGTGTTTGGTTTTTTGGGGTAGGTACAATATTAACTCTAAGAAGACGGGAAAGGATGTATACTGTAATTCCTAAGGCACCAGGTCTCTACAGAGCAACAGTTCTCAGTGTGTGGTCTGGGAGGCCCTGGGGGGTCCTTGAGATCCCTTCAGGGAGGGTCTGTGAGGTCAAAATTATTTTCGTTATTAAGATATCATTGGCTTTTCTCACTCTCATTTTCTCGTGAGTAAACAGTGATGTTACCAGAGGCTATGTCCCTGATAACTAATGCAATGTGCGTCTGTGCATCCTTGTGTCTGAACATTTTCTCATTTTTAATTCTAATGCAGTGAATATTAATAGACTAACCCACATAAACAAAAGCTCTTTGGGGTTCTCAATCATTAAGAGTATATAAGCTTTTCTTAAGCTATATACTCTTAAAAATAAGGCAAAGAGGTATAGCTAAAAAGTCATTATATAAATTAAAATGAAAATCTGAAACTAAATGATTTAATCGGGTGGGGCTTGTTTTTAATAGGGTGACCAATCAACCAGGTTTGTCCAGGACTGGGGGGTTTCCTGGGATACAGGACTTTCAGCACTAAAACCAGGACAGTCCCAGGCAAACCGGGACAGTTGGTCACCTTATCTCTAATCCTTCAACAATTTACTTTGGTCCCCTTTCCTTTACCCAAATGTGATCCCCTAAAGCGCAAAAGGCATATTTGCTCAATGTTTAGGCCCCCAAACATAGGTAAGAGGACTGAGATCCTGGGATGCTAAGAAGATGAAACACTCTGCAAAATTATTAAGTATACGATGCTCACAAATACAGGGAAAATCCATGAGAAGAATCTAAAATAACTGTGATGGTATTAGTGTGTGGGGCTATGGATGATTTTAAAAAATGTTTCTCTATTTAGTAAAATTTCTGTAATGTTATTGAATCACTTTAATAGTTAAGGAATAAATGCATTTAAATTATAATTGTGTCCAGATGGTCTTTTCTAAGCCAGACAAGTTTAGAAGGATGAGATCACGGCTCTGGAAAATGATGCTAGATCCTAGCTCTGGGGGCATCTTTAATCCATGTGATTAATGGAGAAGGTTTCTGTCCTGGGATATAAGTTTTGGCCAGGCACAGATCCTTTCAGTCTTGAGTTGCTGGGTGAGCAAGGGCAGAGGCTTCAGTTGTCACCAGAAATAAATGTGAGCCTCTGTTTAAAAAAAAAATTGATACCCACTGTCTCTACTCTCCCCCTCACCTCCAGTTCTCACTTATACCTTCTAAGCCCGCTTCTGGGTCTATGCACCATTGACATTTGTTTCTCATTAACTGAGGAGGAGCTGAGCATTGAAATTCACCCAGTGGTGCCGTGAAAGAAAGGTCACAGCCGTTTCCATAAGATTACAGCCATTGAAAACCCTATGGAGCATGGTTCTACTCTGACACACACGGGGTCACCATGAGTTGGAGTCAATTTGACAGTAACAGATTTGTTTGTTTGTTTTAGGGAGAGGGGACAGTCCTCAGAGTTTTAAGAAGGGTGAGGGAAGGAAGGAAAGCAGAGGGAGCTCATGGGTATAAGTGCAGGAAGTGCGTAAACAAGCTTTTGGGAGCTTGGTTTTATTTTTGAAGTTCCTTTTGGTGTTGCCACCTGCTGTCCTGTATGGGGAAGGGCCCAGCACAGGGCACCTGGGTTTTCCTGGCCAGGGAGGTTTTTCTGCACCCCTTCAGATTCCAGCATTTATTTAGAGAGGAATATCTACTCTCTTGGAGTCCAAACATCCATGGGAGAGGGAAGGGAGTGTTCAGCAGGGACTGTTCCTTTCCACAGTTGCCCTATTTCATCTTTAGACACCTTGCCCTGGGCTGGGACACGTTGGGGCTTCAGGTAATGAGAGAGATGTAGGAGAAAGGCGGAGAGTAGCTCCTTCTTGGTGACAGCAGAAGTTTTCATGTGGCAGGCTGGGGGCTGCCCACAGTCTAAGCCTGTCAGGGAAAGCATAGTGGAATAGAGAGCCATTCTAACACCTTCCTCTTGTATCCCCTTCTTCCGTCGTCAGATTTGGTTACATCTGATGCCCTCTGCAGAAAGCCTTCTTCAACGTGCTGCATTTCCCTATCTCACCCGCCCCTCCTT